TCTAAGACTGGTTTAACGATATTACAGTGCACTTGTAGTAAATTATGATAACTTGCTCTGCTTATATCATGGGTAGTAGCAGGGAAGAAAATGACATCTTCTTAAAATCATATCTACCCATCTTATATTTGTTTGAATTATGGATAGAAATTATTTTGTTGATGTTTGAAAAATTGGAAATTTCTTTCAACTGAGTATCTAATTTTTATGATTTTTACTAGGTCCTCCAGGAAACCACAGTTAATATTTTACTAATATAAAGTGAGAAATAAAACCTAAATATGTTTGTGATTATGATGAATATTTTTATATTGTATATTAGAGGCCTGGTGCATGAATTTGTGCATGGGTGTGGTCCCTCTGGGTGGCCTTCAGGTTTAGGGCCAAAACCCGCAGTCCAATGCTCTCTGCAGCTCCTATCTGCCGCTTCTGCTCATTCTGCTCACACCTAATCAGTCCCGATCAGGAGAGGCTCAACCGCTGCCCCAGCAGCACTAGCCAGCTATGAGCCTTGCATCTGACGCCCTTCCAAGGTGAGTGGCCTGCAGAATGGGCTGAAACCGGCTCTCCGACATCCCCCGAGGGGTTCTGGGTTGCAAGAGGGCACAGGCCAGGCTGAGGGACCCCACCAGTGCACGATCGGGCCAGGGAGGGACTGCGAGAGGGTTCCAAGGCATGTCCAGTCCATCTTGTTCAGTCCCAATCAGCAGGACCCCAGCAGCAAGCTAACTTACAAGTTGGAGCATTGCCCCCTGGTGGTCAGTGCATGTCATAGCAACTGGTTAACCCGCTGACTATCTGCCCTCCGGTGATCAATGCATGTCATAGCAAGCAGTTGAGCAGCCTTAGCATATCATTAGCGTATTATGCTTTGATTGGTTGTTCTGCCATTCGGTCTATTTACATATTATCCTTTTATTATATAGGATAAGATTTTCTAATAATGGATTTTCTTATTATTATTTTAACTGTAATGTTGTTGGTTTGCATCTCTTTTTCTGATGTATATGGCCAGACCAATGTCCTCAGCATTCAGGGTTAAAGGTTTTTACCTTTATTCATCATTCATTAATGAGGCTTTCAGATGTTAAGTGGCTTAAAGAATTAAGTGCTTTGTGAGTACTTAACTAACCTCTTATAAGAATTATAATTCAGGATCAATTTTTAACATTTGACAGTATTTCCAGAGTTCTCTGATGATTATCTGTAAATAAATTATACTTGTATCTCACAAGTATCTGGAAAATAAGGGCAATTGGAAGGTCTCACTTGAGGTATCATTTCATGAATGAGATTATTTAAAACTGCAGTGATGCTAAGCTATAATTTTGAAAAATTAGAAGAAACTATGTGAATCAATAGAAATAATTGCTCTATTGCTCAGCCAGTGTTGCTCAGTGGTTGAGCATTGACCCATGAACTAGGAGGTCAGGGTTCAATTCCAGGTTAGGGCACATGCCCTGGTTGCAGGTTTATTCCTCAGTAGGGGGCATGTAGGAGGCAGCTAACTGATGTTTCTCATCATTGATGTTTCTATCTTCTCTCCCTCTCCCTCCCTCACTGAAATCAATAAAAAAAAATATATTTTTAAAAGAGATACATATCCCTGACTGGTTTGGCCTCTCTCTGAAATCAAAAGAAATATATATATATATATTAAAAAGTGCTCTATTGATATACAAGGGTTGGCAAAAGGAGCTTTACAGTTGCATTGTGACTTATTCTTTTGAGTTAATAATGCTATTGTAATAATCAAAACCTGCATGTCTTTTTCCATAGGAATGACTGTAAACATACTTTTGCTCACCCCTGTATTTCAAGAAAACAGAAATTTTAAATTATGACAAATAAATATCAACAAATTACCTGCATCACAAATACAGGGGAATGTATAAAATTAATACATCCATGGATAACTTTTTTAAATCCTCATTTGAGGGTACTTTATTGATGAAACATAGATTGGTTGACCAGAGATCAAACATGTGAAATCTAGGTATGTACCCTGATCAGGAATGAAAACCACAACCTTTTGGTGTACAAGATGATTCCCCAACCAACTAAGTGAGGTAACCTCTTGCCTATAAAATCATGATACAAATTTTACATTTGCTTCAGTTTACCAAAATATTCACACTAAATATTAAATTCACCATTTTTCTACTTTTCATGAAACCAAATAAAATTGGTTTACAAGTTATATGTCGTATGTATGTTTCTTAACATATTTGTCACAATTTAAGGTACATTTTGTTGCATGAACATAACCAGACTTCCAGTTCTATTTAATTCTTACATTAGGTATTCTATAAATGTAAAATATAATTTAACAATTAATATTTTAAAGGATTATGATTTGTTTGTGATTAAAGTATTTTTTAAATATTTGCAAGTTGGTTTGTAATGAATTTATGTCTAATAAATAAATGACAAAACTTTTAAATCTTATCTTTGGACCTTATTTTAGAAATGATTTTCAGTGAATGGAACAACAGACTAAAATGTTTTCTGTACTTATTTCTGCTATAAGTTTTGGCATACATTATGTATTTTAATTCCCTAATAGTGGTATGGTTAATCATTGAGGCACTTATTCAACAGATAATAGAACTTCTGCCAGATTCGTCAGAAGATATAAAGATGAAATATATGCTCAGACTAACTTGGTTATAAAAGGGAAACATAATTTTAAACATGCTTAATTAAAACAAGGAAATAATTAGCTCCCATAATTGAAAATTTGTGCTTTATATATGGCTGGATCTAGCTGCTTAAGCAATGTAGTCAGGAATCTGATTTGGGATCTAAAAAAAGACGATGATCAGGAATGAATTCCAGAATGGTATTAAGATAGTACTCACCCGACAAAAGCATGACAGAAATTAGGATGGGATAAGCAATGTGAGCTTGAAGAGCAGCAAACTATAGCCTCTAAGGCATTATCTAGTTTTGTGACATTCTCCTTGCCCTTCATATTTTATAATATTCCTCTAAATAAATAAAGCCTCAATTATATTTTTCAGACTGGTCTCAGATATACCATGATGAATTATGAAAATATTGGGATGTCTGCAAATGAAAATTGTGAG